GAATGTTACAATCAATACGGACATGGTTGTCTAAACAGTTCTCCATGAAAGATTTGAGAAAAGCATCTTTTATCCTAGGGATAAAAATCTATAGAGATAGATTTAAAAAGATGATCGGACTATCCCAGTCTACGTACATAAATAAGGTACTAAAACGGTTTAGTATGGAAGAATGAAAACGTGGATATATTCCAATGAGTCATGGGGTTTCACTTTCTAAGACGATGTCTCCAAAGACACATGAAGAAAGAGAACGAATGAGTCATATACCTTATGCATCAGCTATTGGTAGCATTATGTATGCAATGTTATGTACAAGACCTGATGTGGCTCATGCACTTAGTGTAACGAGCAGATATCAGTCTAATCCAGGTGAAGAACACTGGAAAGCCGTTAAGATAATTCTTAAGTACTTACGAAGGACTAAGGATATCTTTATGGTATATGGCAATGGAGAATAGAAACTAGAAGGTTTTACTGATTCTGGTTTTCAGTCCGATAAAGATGACTTTAAATCCATGTCTGGTTACTTGTTTACTCTGAATGGAGCAGCAGTTAGTTGGAAAAGTTCCAAACAAGAAACGATTGCTGACTCTACAACAGAGGCTGAATATATTGTTGCATCTAATGCTGCAAATGAAGCTGTTTGGATAAGGAACTTCATCCAAGGGTTGGGTGTAGTACCATCTGTTGTTGATCCAATAACGATTTATTATGATAACAATGGGGCTATTGCGCAAGCAAAGGAACCAAGATCTCATCAAAGATCCAAACACATTATGAGACGATACCATTTGATTAGAGAAATCATTGGTAGAGGAGACGTCGTAATGGAGCGAGTCGAATCAGCGGAAAATATAGCAGATCCCTTAACTAAGCCTTTACCACAGAAAGTGTTCGAAGGACATCTTGAGAAGATGGATCTAAGATACATGAGTGATTGGAACTGGGGCAAGTGGGAGATTGTTGGAGTAGTATACCCGGCGTTCCAATAAGATTGGACGT